GGGGTATGTACCACTCTAAGGGAGGAGGAGTGGAAGGCTATGTCTTAACACTATAGCCCACTCCTAAGGAAATAGAGCATTAATAACATTTCATGTTCACTGATCCGTGGTCAAACCTGTAACTTTCTCTGCAGCGCCCTGGCTCCCTATGTGCTCCATGGTCATTCAGTATACTTCCCAGATTCCCAGCTCCTGCAAGACACAGCCCATCCTCCAGTCCCAGGTGGAGAACCTGCTGTGCAGAACATACCAAAAGTGGAAGAGCAAGAACCCCTCTCCAGGCCAGGAGGCAGGGCCTTCAGTTGCTGAGATCCCGTGGGATGACATCATCACCTTATGTATCAATCACAAGCTGAGTGACTGGACACCCCCCAGGCTCCCCATCACAGCAGGTAGTTGCCACTCAGTGCTGTGAGGGCTGGGTCTCCATGAGATTTTCCTGGTCTAATAGTAACAAAACAGGGAACTGAGTTTTTGTTTGTTAGTTTCCTAAATAGGGTCTCACTGCATGGCTCAGACAAGCCAGGCCCTCACTAAGTAGATAGAATGGACTGGCCTCGAACTCAGATTCACTTGCTTCTGCCTGCTGAGCAGTGAGATTAAAGACATGCACCGCCATTCCTGGATGGAAGACGCTTTCTTAGCACTGTTTCTCCTCCCTGTGCCTGCCTTCCCTTTCCTTAGCACGCCCCTGTAAGGCCAGTGATTTCTAGGCGACTTCACTTGGGCTAGAGCTAAGGTAGTCCATGTCTTTAATCCCAATTCAGGAGGATCTCTGTGAGCCTGAGGCTAACCTGGTCTACATAGCAAATTATAGGACATCCAAGACTACAGAGACACCCTGTCTCAAAAAACAAAAACAATGCTGGGTGTGGTAGTACACTCCTTTAGTTCCAGTACTTGGGAGGCAGAGGTAGACAAATCTCTGAGTTTAAGGCCAGTCTAGTGTATAGAATGAATTCTAGGACAATCAGAGCTACACAGAGAAACCCTGTCTCAAAAAACAAAACAAAACAAAATAAAAAATAATTTTAAAGAAGGCCCTAGAAAAGCATAGACTCCCTTTCCAGAATGGGCCTCCTAGGTTGTCTCTTAGAGGCTCTATGACCATGAGAGTTATTCCTAGCCTTTCTGCATGAATGAGTACTCAAGCATGAATGAATATACACATATATATGTATATTTATATACATTTTAAATCTGTTTTTGTACTGTTTTCTCAGAGGCACTAAGTGAAGATGGTCAGATATGTGTATATTTTTTCAAAAATCGTTTAAGGAAATTTGATGTTCCCTTGTCCTGGGAACAAGCCAGAATGCAGACACAGAGGGAACTGCAGCTGAGTCAAAGACGGTGAGGTCCATGTTCAGTGTGTGTTTCTGTCACTGTTCTAAGTCATACTGTGCCACAATAAGCCTATCCTGTTACAGACCAGTTCTGATGACGCTGCAAAGCACAAGTCATTCCCCAGCATACACACCTTTTAGAACAGTTACAGGTGCCTCCCTCCATTCATCAGATGAGCTCAGGTCAACCCTAACTGGAGAAAGCAGATGAAAAAGCTGGTTTTTCGCCTCATAAACCTAGTTCACAGATGCCAAATGATGTCTTAGCATCCATGTTCTTGCAACACCTAAAAGCATTCCCAAGTAGCCTTTGTCCCAGGATAAACAGTACCAGCCGTAGAAACAAATGTATTAGTAAAATTTGCTGCTACAGTAAAAAAGCAGGTGGTCATTTCAGTTAAGTGTTGAAATAATTTTTAAAATTTTTTATTTATTTCATGTATGTGGATGTTTTGCTAACATGTATAGCAATGTACCACTTGCACACCACCATTGTATTCCCTAGACAGTTACAGACAGTTGTGAGCCAACACGCAGGTGCTGGGAATTGAACCTATGTGGCTCCCGCATATCAGGAAATGAAAGACAAGACGTCCGGCTGTTTGTGCTAAGAGAATGCGTCTGTCGCCTTTATTGCCAGGAGGATGTATGTGTGTGTGTGTGTGTACATACCACGTCTATATGTCTGCCTGTGTGTCTGCTGTAAGGAGTGAATAGCCTTATATACAGGATTACAGCACAGTGGAGAAATCCCAGGTGTAAGAACTCATGTTTTTCTCATCCTAGATGTTGATGTCCGTGGGGCAAGGCCAGGGCTGTAAGCTAGGACTAGAGAACAGGATGTACCTGTGGCTATCAGCTGACAAGCAATACTCAGAAATCCTTGGGGGCTGGGGCCCAATGACCTGGGTTCTTTGGAAGAGCAGCCAGTGCTGTCAACTGCTGACTCTTCTCTGCAGCCCCCAAAATAAACTTCAGACTTAAACTCAGGGTCAGACAGGTGGCTCAGCAGGTGACGGTACTTGCTGTTTAAGCCTGGCAACCTGGGTTTGATCCCTGGTGTCCACTTGAAGTTGGAAGGAGAGAACTGACTCCACAGAATTGTCCTCCGCCCTCTCTGTGTGCACCATGACACTAGGCTGCTCACTGCCTTAGTTTCATTGCTGTTGGTGTGGTAAAATACTGTGACAAAAGAAACTTGGAGAAAGGGGCCATCATCACTTCCTATTCCAGGTTAAGCTTGTCACTCAGGTAACTCAGAGCGGGAACTTGAAGCAGCTAGTCACGGTCAAGAACATAGAATGCAGGCAGGCATGCTTGATTCCCTCAATAGAGAATGGTGGGCTGAGTCTTCCCATAGCCACTGATACAATCAGGACTCTCCACAGACACGTCTATAGACCTACTTGCTCTAGACAGTCCCTCATGAGCCTCTCTTCCCAGAAGATCCTGCATTATTTCAGTTCAAACTAACCACCACAGCTACCTACCATAAAGCTAACAAAACAACCCCCCCTCCAGTAAAACAAAAGTAACAACAAAAAAATCATGTCCTTCAATGAAACATTAGACATGAAAGCAGAACCAGCCTGTGCTGTTGTCACTAACAGTAGTTAAGAACACTATCTCTTGCAGAGGACCCAGGTTTAATTCCCAGCACCCATAATGTGGTGCACAGCCACCCATAACTTCAGTTCCAGGAATCTGATACTCTGTTCTGAACTCCTTGGGCACCAGGCACATATGTGGTACACACACATACATAACATAGGCCAAACACCCACACACACACACATGAAATAAATCTTAAAGATCTGCTCATAACCTTAGTGTAGGGCGCTGAAGAGATGGCTTGGTAGTTAGGAGCATCTGCTGCTCTTCTGGAGGACTCAGGGTTGACTTCAGTACCCGTGGTGCTCCATAAACACCTGGAACGCCAGTTCTTGGGGGTTTGATGTCCTCTTCTGGCCTCCGTGGTTCCTGCATGTTTGTGGTACACATAAACTCGACACAGGCCAACATACATATACATAAAAAGTCTTAAAACACACATGAGAGAGACAGACAGACAGACTGGCTGGCTGCGTGGTATAAGAAACAAAGCCCTAGACTGAAGCAGCTCTGAGAGCCCAGTGCCTCTAGATAGGGGAATTTTTGAAAGCAGCTGTCTCTCTTTTTCACTTTCTGTTTTTTGAGATAGGGTCTCACTATTTAACCCTGGCTGACCTAGAACTTGTTATGTAGACCAGGTGGCTTTGAACACAGAGAGATCTGTCTGTGTCTGTCTCTGCTTCCCAAGTGAGACTAAAGGCACAGGCCGCCATGCCTGCTCAACAGTGACTCTTGATATGTGTGAGAATCACTGTATAGCACATAGGTCAGAGCTGCTGTCTCTTGTTGCCATATTCCCTTCCTTGAGGGAAGTTCAGAGCAGGTACAGGCTGACATGAGCATAAACTAACCAGTGGAGTGTCCCTTTGTGTCTGTGTGATGTGCATCTTCTTGACCCTAAGAATAGAGTGTGCGCATGTCCAGCTGTCTGTTTGATGTGCATCTTTCTTGACCCTAAGAATAGAGTGTGCGCATGTCCAGCTGTCTGTGTGGTGTGCATCTTTCTTGACCCTAAGAACTTCTACCCTTGTGCTTTCAGTTCGGGGACAAAGTCTTTTCATCCCTCTACAAGCAGCTTTTCTACTCCGCTGCTTCGTGTACACCTCAAAGGGTTAAGTGAGGCGAGCGGCCGAGAGGGGAGTTTCCGTACAGAGGACCTGATGCGTGGAGCTTCTGCAGAAGATCTCCTGGCACAGTGTCTGTCCAGCAGTCTGCTGAAGGAGAAGGAAGAAAACAAAAGGTGAGTCTGTCTCCGTGCTCTGCGACTTTGCCATTCATCCTACTTGGTGCAGGGAGACTGTCGCTCTGTGATGATGAGACTATTTTAAAAAAGAAAAGGAAGGAAGACATTTATTTTTAATTTATGTATTTTTATTTTGTGTGCATTGGTGCTTTGCCTGTATGTACATCTGTATGAGGGTGGTGGATCCTGGAGTTACAGACAGTTGTGAGCTGCCATGTGGGTGCTGGGAATTGAACCCCAGTCCTCTGGAAGAGCAGTCAGTGCTGTTAACCACTGAGCCATGTCTCTAGCCCCAGGAAGACATTTATTTATAAAGTAAAAGCTTGGGACTAGAGGGATGGCTCAGAGGTTAAGAGCACTTGCTGCTTTTCCAGAGGACCCAGCTTTGGTAGCCACAACCACATCAGATGGCTCATAACCATTTTAACTCCAGCTCCATGGACTCTGACATACCTCACCTCTCTGAGAACTTGTGTGTACTCACAGATGTGCCTACACACACACATACACACACACACACACACACACCCTATAACATAACTAAAAATAATCACACATGCACGCACACGTGCCTATACATAACTAAAAATAATTTTTCTTTTTCAAGACAGAGTTTCTTTATGTAACTAAGAACTAGCTGTCCTGGAATTCACTCTGTAGTCCAGGTTGGTCTCAAACTCACAGAGATTCCCCTACCTCTGCCTCCCAGGTGCTGCAACTAAAGGCATGAGCTACTACCATCTGGCTCTAAAAACAATTTTTAAAAAGTATAAGTTCTTGCCCAGAGTCCTGGAGTCATAGCCGGTTGTCAACCCAGTCCTGTCCCGCGCTTGTCTGCCTTTTCTCTTTCTTTCAACATGACAGATGCCGCTGTGTCCTTCGCCAAGGACTTCTTGGCAGGTGGAGTGGCTGCAGCCACCTCCAAAACGGCGGTAGCGCCCATCGAGCGGGTCAAGCTGCTGCTGCAGGTGCAGCATGCCAGCAAGCAAATTACGGCAGATAAGCGATACAAGGGCATTATAGACTGTGTGCCTCGTATCCCCAAGGAGCAGGGAGTCCTGTCCTTCTGGCGTGGTAACCTGGCCAATGTCATCAGATACTTCCCCACCCAGGCTCTCAACTTTGCCTTCAAAGACAAATACAAGCAGATCTTTTTGGGTGGTGTGGACAAGAGGACCCAGTTTTGGCGCTACTTTGCAGGGAACCTGGCATTGGGTGGTGCCGCTGGGGCCACATCCTTGTGCTTTGTGTATCCTCTTGATTTTGCCCGTACCCGTCTAGCAGCTGATGTGGGCAAAGCTGGAGCTGAAAGGGAATTCAAAGGCCTTGGTGACTGCCTGGTTAAGATCTACAAATCTGATGGGATTAGGGGCCTGTACCAAGGCTTTAATGTGTCAGTACAGGGCATTATCATCTACCGAGCTGCCTACTTTGGTATCTATGACACTGCAAAGGGGATGCTTCCGGATCCCAAGAATACCCATATCTTCATCAGCTGGATGATTGCACAGTCTGTCACTGCTGTTGCTGGCCTGACTTCCTATCCCTTTCTCTTGAGACTTTGCCCTTGCCTCCACTAGATCACGCACGTCAGCACGCAAACTGCAGGCATCCTGACACAGCTTTCTGATGTGGCCTCATGTCCTCTCTTGTCACCACTGCATGCTTCTCCTTTAGTAGTAAAATCTCCAAGAACAGCTGTGTTGGCCATTGCTCCGTCCCTTTTGTCTTTTGCAGCCTGCACACTTGAATCTGGTCGTGAGCCCTGTCCCTGCCAGTGATCCATCCTAGCTTCACCTCCTAGCTTCCAGTCCCCTTCAAGGGTTTTCCCATTCCTCTTTAGCAGCCAGACCTGCTCTCTGGACTTCATCTCTGCTTCTTACGTGCCTACCCCACTCCACAATCTCAACCAGTTTCAGGAGTAGTTACATACTGTCAGTCTTGTAATACGTCCAGAAATTCCACACAGTTGTGCCCTGACCTCCACACGGCATCCATACCCACATATAGACACCAGAGCAATAAGTTAAAAGTAAAGGACCGGTAGTTGAGGTTTTGCTTTTCAGCAAGCGCCTTGATGTTTCTCATTTTGAGATCTCATACTGTTTCAGGTTTGAAGATCAACTTCAGCAGTGGTTATCTGAAGACTCACAGGCATTCACAGAGTCAACTTGCCTTCCTCGCTACCTTCCTCAGACACTCATCTCTTTCCCTGACACTATCCAGACGCAGACTGTGGTGAAAACATCGACAACAAGAAGTCCTCAGGTGAGAACGAGTGCATTTGGCATGTACAGAATTAAAGACTGAGAGTGCCAGCCACAGTGGACCACAACTTTAGTCCCAGCATTCCAAGAGTGAGGCCAGCCTGGTCTACACAGTAGGAGTGGGACACTGTGTTAGAGTCATCAAATGATGCATTAACACATGGAGGTTAGACTTTTAAAACTTCATATGCCAGTGTTACTGGGAACAAAAACAAAAAAACTGAATGTGGGGTTAGGAATGTAATTCAGTTGGTAGCGTGCTTACCTAACATGTAGAAAGCCTTGGGTTCAGTCCCTATTGCTGAGTCCCATACCTAGAATCCCAGAGTTGAAGGCAGTGGGGTCAGAAGTTCAGGGTCATCCTTGATTGACGAAACAAAAAAAGAAAAAACTGAGCAAACCTATACTTGTGCTGATGTGCATTAAACTGAGAGCGAAACTCAGGCAGTGTCGCAGCTGCTTTTCTGTAGCTGGTAAGACACCATGACCAGAAGGGACTTGGGGAGGAAAGGGCTTCCTTCACGCCCACATCACAGGTCATCGGCAGAGGCAGTCAGGGAAGGAGCTGATAGAGGCCATGCACAAGTGCCTCGCACCAGCTTGCTCCTGGTTTGTTCAGTTTCTGCCTTAGAGCACTCAGGGCCACCAGCCCGGCGATGACACCACCACAGTGAGCTCAGTCAGTCAAGAAAAGGTATGGCAGGCCAATGTGATGGGCGCATTTTCTCAGTTTGGAGGAGGTTCTTTCCTCCAAAATTGGCTAGATTATGTTAAATTGACATAAAACTAGTCAGCGTGATTGACCATTTGTCAGCTTGACACAGACACTCCTATTCAATCAGGACCTTTCCTCTGTGATTTGTCTGCAACCAAGATTGCATGTTAGCATTAATTAATACCACAGTTTAAAACATGTCAACTTTTGAAAGTTTCACGGTCTTTAACAGTTTAAACACTTGCCAGGTAGTGGTGGTGCATGCCTTTAGCCCAGCACTCACGAGGCAGAGGCAGGTAGATCTCTGAGTTCTAGGCCAGCCTGATCTACAGAGTGAGTTCCAGGACAGTCAGAACTACATAGAGAAATCTTGTCTCAAAAAAACAAACAAACAAACAAACATGGCCGGGCGTTAGTGGTGCACACCTTTAATCCCAGCACTCGGGAGGCAGATCTCTGTGAGTTCAAGGCCAGCCTGGTCTACAGAGCAAGTGCCAGGATAGGCTCCAAAGCTACACAGAAAAAGCGTGTGTTGAAAAACCAAAAAGAAAACAAAAAAATTTTTTTAAACATTTTTAAACACGTTAAAAGTTCTGTCTCTTTAAAATATTCAAAGGCTCTCTAAAATATCCAGAATCTATGTAAAATACTAGTTTCTGTAAATATCTAGTCTCTCTAAAATTCTGAAGTGTCTTTGAAAGTTAAAAGTTCCTCAACTGCGAGCACTTGTAGAATAAGAAGTTACATACTTCTTTATTCCAAGAAGGAAGAGTAAGGGCCCAGTAGTAATCGTCAGGTGAACGAAGTGTGTGACAGGGTAAAGTTTGCTGTCAGACTTCTGGCATTCACTCACAGTCTTCTGGGCTCCTTGGAAATGCTTGGGCAGCTGTCTACAGCACATGCAGCTTGTCTTGTAGACTAAGGCTGGCTCCGCTCCACAGCTGCTACTGTTCCTGGTGGTCATCTCCACAATGCCTGGGTCTCCACTGCAGCTGGGCTGCTGCTTCGACAGTAACTTCTTTCTCTTGGGCTCTCTTCAGGGACTTTCACCCTGCCACATGGTGCTAAGCCTTACCTCACCAGGACCCCTTCAATCCTGGGCCTTCTACCTCTGTTGAGAGCCCCAATGGCCTGTGCCAAGCCTCAAAACCAGCACAACCTGGGAGAGTCTTACACTACCTGCTTCAGCTGCTAACGTGAGAGGCAGCCTCAGTTCCTTCTGAACCACAGCTTCTATGTGCTGATCCTAAGGAAACACATCCTAGATTTTCACCGCAGTGATGCTGGTCTCATCTTACTCACAGCTAATTCTTAGCCCCGGCTGACAACATCCATTGTCCCAGCAAAGCAAAGGTTTCATTTTATCATACAAAGAACCCTAAAAGAGTCTTTGAGGGACTCACACACTCCCTCTCAAGCGTCACAAGGCCAGGCCTTCATCATCTGCACTACTCCCTACATTGTCCAGGTTCCCAAAACTGCTCATTAAACTCTGAACACTCCCAGGCTTTCCTAGTCGTCCAAAGTTCCGGAGTATTTCCACAATCTTCCAGCAACACCCCCATGGTGTCTGCGTCATGAGCAAGTCTAATGTATCGGGCAAAAGCCTAGAGCTTTTTTTTTTTTTAACGAGACAGGGTTTCTTTGTATTATTTTGGAGGCTGTCGGTCCAGCCTGGCCTCCAACTCACAGAGATCTGCCTGCCTCTGCCTCCCGAGTTCTGGAATTAAAGGCGTGCGCCACCACCGCCTGGCTAAGCCTAGAGCTTTAAATGACAGACAAGACATCTGGCCTGGCCGTTTGTGCTGAGAGAGTATGCGTATGCATATTTATTGCAAGGAGGGAGCAGCCTTATATACAGACTTACAGCACAGTGGAAAAGCCCCAGCTGTAAGAGTTTGTGTTTTTATAATTAAAGGTTGATGCTGGTGGGGCAAGGCTGGGGCTGTAGCCAGGGCTAGAAAACAGGATGCACCTGTGGTTATTGGCTGACAGGCAACTCACAGAGACCCCGTGGGGGCTGGGGCCTAACACCCCAAGGCCTGGTAACTAATTTCTTAGAGTTTCTATTGTTGTCATAAAACACCATGACGATAAGCAACTTGGGGAGGAAAGGTGTATGTAATTCCTCTTCAGTTTGTAGTCCATCATCCAAGGAAATCAGTGCAGGAACTCAAACAGGGCAGGAACCTTGATGGAGTAGCTGGTGCAGAGGCCATTGAGGAAGCCAGCTGCTTACTGGTTTGCTTCCATGGCTTGCTCAGCCTTTCTTATAGAACCCAGGACCACTAGCCCAGAGGTGGCCCCACCCACAATGCCCTGAACCCGCCCTCCTACACCAATCACTAAATAAGAAAATGTCCTACAGACTCGCCTGTAGGCCAGTCTTGAAGGGGACATTTTCTCAGTTGAGACAGTAGCATAAAACTAGCCAGCATAGGCAGGAACAAATGCCTGTCTGTGGGACCACACAACTGTTTGAACTTTGTCATTGACCAGACTCAATCCTGGTCCTAACTTTTCCTAATAAATGAAGGTGGTACGCTCACAGAAGTCAATTTCACCCTAGAATAGTTGTTTTCAAAGCCAGATCTTCTGGACTTCAAAGCCTCTCCATGTCTGTCTTGGGGGCTAAGGAAGCAGAAGCAGTTTAACCGGAGACACATGCTGTGGGGCAGGTGAGAAGGTGTTTCTGGGTGCTTTAGGAACCCTCTCAATAAGGAGGAAGGTAAATTAAGACAACGTACTGTTCCCACTTATCAGTTTGGTTAATACTTTAAAATAGTCTTTTCTTGGACTTACTGTGAGACATGGAGGTAGACACTTGTTGCTCCAGCATTTTGGAGATGGAAGCAGGAAGATCATGAGTTCAAGGCCAGTCTCTACTACATAGTAAGTTTGAGGCTATTCCGAACTACATTCTCATCCCAACCCCACCCCCCAAAATATTTATACTCTTTGACTAATTCTCTGTAAAGAAATTGCCAGATCATTACAAAATATACAAAAGTTTTTCACTGTGATATTGATTATATATATAATAAATAAATATCCCAAGGTGGGGGCCTCACTAAGCAGTTCAGTACATAGAATACTGGCTCTATGTGTGTAATAGATGAAGCTGGAAAGACATAGGATGGATACCAAGGGAGGGATCTGTTGAGTCCAAGAAGCTCCAAATGATGTAAACATGAATCAGATGTAATGCCTTCACAGATGGTTACTTTTGGCTTCTTTCTTATTCAATTAGAATGCAGGGGCAGGAAAGCAATTGCAGTTCTCAGAAGTAAAGGACACGTCTCTAACTGGAAGACTTAAGCGCCTGGAAAGGCTGATCCAAAGTTCAAAGAAAGAGGAAGTTATCTCTGAGCTCCATATTTCTGCACTGCTGGACATGGTGGACATTTGAACAGTCTGACTTGAGGAATGCTGTTTTCTTTTTAATGGTTTGTTTTTATTCCAATTATGTTATGCTCAGATGCTTGGTGTCCTGTGAGAAATGAGATCACCAATTATGCAAATAAACTATTTGAATCATCTGAAATCTATCTTAGTTTCTGAATGAAAGGTTGTGTCATGTCTTTAATGGTATTTGTTTTGTGATCTTAGACTGTCATTCCTCAGAAAATACTCTGAGGAAGTTTTTATGACTGTCTGGTTTTCTATACATACATATTTCTGAGAATTTCATGTGTAATTACTGTATTTACATCATTTCAAGCCCTCCATCCCCCTGCACACTCTGGAATTCATGACCTATTCTATAATTATTGTTACATAAATATATACATACACATACAATCTACTGAGTTTATTTGAGATTGCTGATATGTATATATGTTTAGGACTGACCATTTGGAATTGGAGAACCTATTATAGGCCTAGTTCCTGGAGAAAATGGATTCTCCTTCCCTTGATTGACAGCTTCTATTATTTGTAATAGACAATTAATTCTCTTAGTCAAGTCGCTGTCCCTGATGTGCTAGACATCAGAAATGCTGGGACAAGATTTCTGTGCGTGTGTGCAGGAGTGTGTGTACTTGTGGCCATGAAGGGCTCAGAACAACTTTCAGGAGCCAGTTGTCACCTTCCATCCTTGTCGAGGCAGGGGCCTCATCTGTGAGGCTGTACAGCATATTCCAGACTAGTTTCCAGTCAATTCATGTCTATGATCGTTTTGCCTGCATGTATGCCTGTGTACCGTGTATATGCTTAGTGCCCAAAGGGGGTATGGGATCCCCTGGAACTGGAGTTATATGTGGTTGTAAGCCACCACCTGGGTGTTGGGACTCAAACTCTGGAAGAGCAGCTAGTGCTCTTAACCTCTCCTGTCCCTTCCAGGAGATTCTCCCCATCTCCAGTCTCATGATAGGAGTGGCAGGATTACAGATGCACACCACTGCTTCCTGGCTCACATGGGTTTGAGGGATCACACTCAGGTTGGCAGCCACCTCACCATGCCCCGTCCCACCCTTAGTGAGTCACTGTTTATCAGTAAAAACTTGCTGTTGTTTTTTAAACATTTATTTATTGTGTGTTACTTTTCTATTGCTGTAATAAAGACACCTTGACACAGGCAATTTATAAAAGAAGTCATTTATTTGGGGCTTTTAGAGGGTTGGAGTCCATGACATCATAGCCAGGGAGCATAGCAGTAGGCAGGCAGGCATAGCACTAGAGCAGTAGCTGAGAGCTTACATCTTGATCCACAAGCAGGAGTCAGGGAGCTAACTGGGAATGGCCTGGTCTTTGAAACCTTATAGTTCACCTCGAGTGATATACCTCCTCCTAATCTTTTCCAAACAATATGCCAACAGGGTACCAAGTACTCAGGGGAAACTTGTAGTTTTCTCCTTCCATGTGCGTTCTTAATCAACCACAATTCTTCCTACTGGAAAAAGTTCCAGCTTTTTGTTCCAGGGAAACAAATTTAATGAACTTGGGAGAACAAACAGGGTCCAGGATGCTAGGCTTCTCTGAGCAACCCTTTTAGGGTCTTCTCATACACACTGTGCTTCTATGGTGCTTGATGGGTCCACTCCCAAAAGCTCTATTTGTTCCCCCGGGCCACCTGAGACATGTACGGGAAACGAAGTCATTATGAAGGAGTTAGCTAGCTCTCTTGCTTGCCTTTAAGCCTTGTCCTCCAGACTGACTTTTCTGTTTTGATTTTTTTAAAGACTTATTTTATGTGTAAGAATGTCTTGTTGGCATAGACATATGTGAATCACCCACATGCCCGGTGCCTGAGGAAGTCAGAAGACGGGCATCAGATTCCTTGGAGCTGGAGTTGTAGATGGTGCTAGAAACCAATTCCAGTTCCTCTTAGAGAGCAGCAAGCGCCGGTAACCACTGGACCACCTCTCTAAACCAACTGCCTGTGGCAAGGCCGTCATATGCTGCCTACTCATCTTGTATCCTCAGAAGTTTCTAAACTGGGCTAGGGAGAGGCTAGTGTTCTCGGGACTAGCCATCTAAAACTCCAAGATTCGCCGTGGGAAGGTGCGTGGGTGTTGTGTCTCCACCTTCTTCCTCTGGCTTCTGTCCACGGCCCCTTCAAGTTTCACAAGGGTAGCGTTTGGAGGGCGGGGTGCTGGAGGCTATCTGGTTCGGGAGTTGTAACAGGGTCTGCACTCTGTAGGATGGATGAAGCCGTAACCAGCTGCTGTGGGTTCTTGGAACGCCGTCTTCAGTACACTGGTTGTCCCTGCATGGCAGCAATGCTTCTCAAGTCTTCTCCATTTCTCCATTGTTCCTCACTATTAGTTTCCGCCTGTACACCACAGGCTTTCCTGCTTCCCGCCCTACTTTCAAACAGAATCAAGGCCTTCCCCCCATTAACTAGTGGACCGCAAGCCCCGGGTAGCTCTGTAGCTAGGAAGGTAGTCCACCTGCAGTTGGCAGTCAGGAAGTTGAGGCTGCCTCGCCAGCCTTGACCACGCCCTTCAGCTAGCCCCCATCAGAAGCCTGTGCCTAGTGTCCAAGAACACCGTCCTGGCGCTCCTGCCAATCACATCATCATAGTTTTCTCCTCCCTTCACTAGAGTCAAAGCCCCTGCCCCACGGTGGTCCCATCCTCTGTCGTGGAGCCTCGGCTTCCTGCGTGGCCCCCGCTGACCACCGACCAACGCGAGTTTCCGCTCTCACCTCAGGCCATTCCTCCGTGCTTCCCCTGAAGCACCCGTGCCTTCCGCGGCCTCTTTCCTGCAGACGTCGCAGATGTCGGAGGGGCCATTCTTCACCAACGCTGCAGACACTCCCACTTCAACATCCCGAGCAAGCAGCTCACGGCCACGCCCCTCCCGTGGGCCCCGCCCCCGCAGGCCCCGCCTCCCGGGAGCCTCGCGGCGTGGGGCGGCGTGCGCCCAACCACTGCGGTTGCGGTGCGGCTGTCGTGCTCACCTCGCGGTGCTCTGATTGGCCGCACCAGCATCGGCCCACCCAGCAGTTCCGGTCGGCCGAGGCTCGCGCCTGCGCAGCGCCCTAGGCTGTCAGGGTTAGGCGCTGGCGAGCCGGTGGCCCAGAGTGAGATGCTGTCATGACTGAGGGCACGTGAGTCCCGGACCCTGGGTCTCCCGCGGGCGCTGCGAGGGACGCAGCAGGGCGGTGGCAGGGAAGGTGCCTGGACAGCAGGGTGACCCGGCGGGTGGCTCTGCAGGCCCGGGTTGCAGGCATCCCCCACCTGGGCGGAGCCTGACGAGCGCTGCCTGCTGTCTCTGGTCGGCTCAGGTGCCTGCGGCGTAGAGGGGGACCCTATAAAACCGAGCCGGCCACCGACCTCACCCGCTGGCGGCTCCGCAATGAGCTGGGGCGGCAGAGATGGACGTATTTCCAAGCGGAGGACGAGCCTGGTCGAGAACAGACCGGGCTAGAGGCCCACTCTCTGGGACTGGACACAGTAAGTGATGTGATTCCTCAAGCACCATTTCACCCCAAGCCTGGAAGGGACCACGAACGAGCCTCTGCCTGTCTTTTCTGGGCCAGAGCCCTGCAACAGTATCGCGCCTTGTTCAAAAAGCTGCATTTAGCCAGTGAACAGATAGATGTCCGTGTGAGTGTTGTACAACACGAAGAAAAGCTAACTATAAGGGAATGAGGAAGGGATTAGTGCAGATAAAGGACACGAGTTATGAAAGAAGGTGGAAAGCCAGCCGTTTTTCTAGTTCTAATAGTGCCATGGAGTTTTCGTTCTGCGTGGTTGGACTAGTGCATAAAATGCATTGGTACTGAAAGTATAAAATTGAAGGTCGAGCTTCGTGGCTTCCTTTTCAAATGCCAAGTTCATTAGAATAGACTTTGTGTCTGGTTTATTTTGATGTGTGATGTTTTTATTTACTTGCAAGTTCTCCTTAAAAATACAGCTTACAATTTTTTTAAGGCATATGAATCTGGGCATGGGTCATCTATATAATTCCAGCCACTCGGGAGAAAGGATCTAAGTTTGAGATATGCCTTGGCAACTTAGTTAGACTTTGACTCAAAAACCAAAACAAAACAAAAAAACCCTTTAATCCCAGCACTCGGGAGGCAGAGGCAGGAGGATCTTCATGAGTTTGAGGCCAGCCTAGTCTACAGAGCGAGTTCCAGGTCAGCCTCCAAAGCAATACAAAAAACAAAACAAAACAAAAAAACAAAAACAAACAAAAAAAGTCAGCTAGTCATACAACAGGTAGGTAACAGGCTTCCTGTGAGTCCTGGCCATCAGCTGGGAAAACCTCCTCTGGGATCTGCTGTGCTATTGTGTGGACCCTGTCTGAGAAAGGGAGAAGTGCCCCCCATCAGTTTTGCATCAGTGCCCTCCCCTTTGTTCTGTGCTGTGTTTATTTAAGGTGTTTTTGAAGAAATTTGCAGATTGGTGGCTGCAAAGTAAATCATGACAACATGGACTTGCCTTGTTACTTTTCTGGGTGGTAGTGTCATCAAAGACTTAAACAGTTAAAATTCTAAAGTGAATTCGTTCACTATTTTGACTTGGATTGTGAATGAGGAGGGTTCCTCAGGGCACCAGGCAATCTCAGCTCTCATTTTTTGCTTTCCCTTTGCAGAAGAATTATTTCAAAGACTTACCTAAAGCTCAAACAGTCCATGAGGCAGCCCTGAATGGAGTAACATTTTATGCCAAACTGCAGGCCGAGGATGGACACTGGGCGGGTGATTATGGTGGTCCACTCTTCCTCTTGCCAGGTAGGAGCATGCTATCCTAACTCAAGGAGAAGGCTCTTCTGGATTGTGGGGGGGGGGGGCTTCACCTACCCTATTAAGCAGGCTAAAACCCAGCAGCGCACTGGAAAAACTCTAGGGGAAGGTGGCTTTATCTCCCAGAAATCCTGCTGCCAGGATTAGGGAATGATGGTGAAGCATGGTTAACCCAGAGCAGACTGTGAGTACTCTGATAACAAAGTACTCTGAAGCCAAGACTTCTCTAAGAGAGGGGATGGGTGCTCTTGAATCTCAGTGCTCGAAGGCCAGCCAGTGCCAGAGTACTGTAGATTGGCAAGGGTATAGTTGAGGAGCTGGTTTCCATGCGTGTGCAGTTTGAGCACTACACTATCCCTTGTGAACTTGGAGTCAAAGGGTGGCTGAGGGAGTTCTGGCAGGGAAATCACAAGTCCAGGCTGGTGAGTGGTAATAGGATTGCATTTGAACACACTGGTCTTGATGTAGTTTGGCTGTGAAAGACTTTTTGCATCCTGGCAATATTTCTCTAAAGAAACCCATATTCATGCTTCAAGAATGAATATGGGTTTAACTCTATCTCAGTAGCCTGAGAATTCTTAAGAGACTGTAGGTTTGCTTCTGTATTGACCTGTGATACCCTTCCTATGCCTTGCCATGGGAGTATGAATTGGAACTGTTCTTTGGATAATGAAGATAGGAGCTGTGCACCTAAAGACCAGGCTTGGAATGAAGGTTTCTTGTATAGTATCATCTCTCCCCCATATATACAAAGTGGCACATACATGTAAAAAGTTTATAAAACAGAAACAGTAAAATATAAGCAATAACTATTATCCTGTTCAGGGTTACCATTTTAGTATTTCAATCCCAAGCAGGTGTTAAAGCAAGACCTGGTTGCCCTTTGTGGTCCCATTGATCTTGAACTGACTCTTCTTAGGTCTTCAGCACATTTGTGGGAGGCCTCTTCCAGGCTCTGCAGTGTTTCTCTGAGCCTCTTATCATATTCTGGCCCTGGCCTGGGAGTATTAACTCTGCCTGGTGTTTCCAAAGTCATTAGGCCTAGGAAGAATGGTCTTTCTGAGCTTGATTGCATGGAAAGGAAAGCCACAGGGCAGCTATATGTCAGGATTAAGGTCCTTAAGAAGAAGAGCTTGGGTTTAGCAGTGCTGAACACCCATTCCTAATGTGGGACATCCTTCTCGCCACCCAGGTCTCCTGATTACGTGTCATGTGTCACACATCCCTCTGCCAGCCGGATACAGAGAGGAGATGGTGCGGTACCTGCGGTCAGTGCAGCTCCCTGATGGTGGATGGGGTCTGTGAGTATGCCCAACTGAACATATGTACATGTGTGTGTTTGCAAGTGTTTTCATGTAGCTGTTGGGAAGTGAGATAACTGCACCCATGGACCTAGGGTGGGTGGGAGAAAAACCTGGTAGGAGGAGAGCAGGCTGGTACCCATGTGAAGCCTGGCCACAGTTTATCTCCAGTTTATGAATGCGTCTCATGGTTGGGAGCCTCTTGAGTCTCTTTTAACATGCCAAGTTAAAGCCATCGTGATTTAAAATTGTGGAAGCAGCAGAGATGGAAGCAATGTAGGGGCCCCACAGACCCATCTCAACCTGCTTTCCTGATGTACACACTCTGGGAGCAGAGGGGTAGGCAGGCCCTGCCCAGCTGGCTTTGGAACAATTGGGTATCTTCTGTTGGGTGGACTAAACATTCGCTGGCGTCCCTACAGTGTGCTTCCTGTGTTTTGTCGGGGGGAAGTATTACAGCCATCTTTTCTAGACAGACGTCACTGCCAGTACAGTTTTATGTTTTAGAAACAGAGACAGATGACAGACACCCTTTGCCCACCAGTCTCATATCCTTAGGCATGTTGAGGACAAGTCCACAGTGTTTGGAACTGCGCTGAACTACGTGGCTCTCAGAATCCTGGGTATTGGGCCTGATGATCCTGACCTTGTACGTGCTCGGAACATTCTTCACAAAAAAGGTACATCCTGTATGGCATGTGGGGTTTGTGTCATACTGACATAACGAGCTCTTTAAATGGGAACTGCACCTCTAGTTGAAACACTGGGAAAAACACCAGTAGGTGGAAACTGTTGGGCCATATAATAATTATTAATTATTTCGGTTTTTTGAGACAGGGTTTCTCTGTATTGCTTTGGAGCCTGTCCTGGAGCTCACTCTGTAGACCAGGCTAGCTTACGAAATTCACAGAGATCCACCTGCCTCTGCCTCCTGAATGCTGGGATTAAAGCTGTGTGCCACCACTGACCAGCTGGAGACTTATTTATTTTTATATGTGTGGGTGTCTTGCCTGTACGTATGCCTGTGCACCACGTGTGTGCCATGCCAGTGAAGACTACAAGAGGGTGTTAGATCCTTTGGAATTGTAGTTACGGATATAGACCATTGCTAGTGGCCATGTGGGTTCTGGTAACTGAACTCAGGGCCTCTGCAGTATGTGCTTTTAGCTTCTGAGCCAACTCTCCAACCCTAATTTTATTATTTTTAATTAATTAATTTCTCTGTGTGTGTGTGTGTTTTGTGAGTGTGTGTGTGTGAGTGTGTGTGTGAGTGTGTGTATGTGTGTGCGTGAGTGTGTGTGTGGAGTGTGTGAGTGGGTATGTGTGTGTGTGAGTGTGTGTGTGAGTGTGTGTATGTGTGTGTGTAGTGTGTGTATGTGTGTGTGTGAGTGTGTGTGTGAGTGTGTGTATGTGTGTGTGTGAGTGTGTGTATGGAGTGTGTGAGTGGGTATGTGTGTGTGTGTGAGTGTGTGTATGTGTGTGTGTAGTGTGTGTATGTGTGTGTGTGTTTTGTGAGGTGGGTGTGTGGAGTGTGTGTATACCACAGTGCACATGTAGAGGTCAGGTGACAACCTACTGGACTTGATTCCTTTCATCTTTACCTGAGTTCCATGGAACAAACTCAGCTTAGCAGGCTTGTGTGGCCAGTTCTTTGCCCACTTACCACAGCTGCAGCTTGAGTGTTGTTGTGGTTTTGTTGTTGTGATGGTTTTGTTGGGGGGGAGGGCAGGGTCTCATGTAGTCCAGGCTAGCCATGAACTCACTATGTAGCCAGGCTATGCCTTGAACTCCCACTCTTCCTTCTTCCTCCTCCTGAGTGCTGAGTGCTGGGATTACAGGCATGCACTAC